AGTTTCAGACAGAAAAAACACAGCTCCTTCAAAAGGCCGAAGCTACCGAGTTTGTTGCTCAGGGCTTCCAAATTAAACTCAAAGAAAACGAAGAATCAAGTAAGAAAAGCAATAAGAAACTTGCTACTCTAAAAAAAGAGCATCAAGTGTTGACTGACAAACACAAGGTGTTGACAAAAAACTTTGAAGATTCTGACCTCCGGGTAGCTGAGTTAGAGCTAGAAGTGGATACTCTGAAGAAAAATGTCCTGGCTTTACAACAGGCTGCTGATGACATGGATTATAAGTATGTTGCCTTTGGTCACCAAATTCGTGGCTGGGTTGTGGATCAAGTGAAATTTTTCCATCCAGACTCTCCCTTGCCTCATTTGAGCAAAATAGAAACTTTCAATTTTATTGATAATGACCGACTATGTACTCATGACGAAAAAGGCTCCATTGTTGTACTTGCTGAAAACCCCTCTGATTATATGGGATCTACTCCTACTTCCGACCCTGCTGCCTCAAATACTGTTCCTAAGACTACTTAAAAAAGTTGGACACCACTTTATTTTGTACTCAGCTTTTCTATTATAATTATTGTAATCCTGTACTTCCAAGCTACTTGTTTTATTCAATAATTTGAACTCGTAATCATGAAGTAAAATGATGTGTTTTAGTTTGCTTATTGTTGTCCTTTGAATTTGATAACTATGTGATCCTAATACTTGCTAAAGTACTTGCTTATTCTTCTCGGCACAATTTCACTGTCTCATTACTCGAATGTAAGTCACTTTGTCTACCCATCATTCTGCCTTTGCTTAACCGTTTCCGAGTAGGAATTGAACGGCTGCCCAAGAGGCCCATTAAGGCGGCAAGGGACTTTGTTTTCCCGTTTCCGAGCAGGAATTGAACGGCTGCCCAAGAGGCCAATTAAGGTGGCAAGGGACTTTGTTTTTTTCTTAATAATACGTATTGAAGTCGAACTGGCTTTATTGAATTGAAATATTGTAACTCGCAATCTCAAATGTACCATACTTAAATGCAAAATAACTGCAACACATAATAACATAAAATACTCCTACTAAATTAACAAACTAAACTTAGTTCCTAATCATCAATGTAAAACTACATCTTACTTACGACCTATGATCTGCCATCCGACTTCCAACTAAATCTGGATTTCTTCAACTAAATTACCTTTTTAACTTGGCAGCATTCCAATATCGCGGAATTGGTTTCCCATCCAAGTGCTCTATCTGATAAGCTTCAGTCCTTGTGGCAACTGTTACTCGATAAGGACCTTCCCAATTAGCTGCCATTTTTTCATCTCTTGCATTTTTATTACCCACATCTGCCCGCCTAAGCACCAAATCTCCTTCCTGAAACGTCCTTTTGACTACAGTTCGATTGTACCTCGTTGCTGCTCGTTGCTTAGATGCCAACTCAACCATTGCCACCTTTTCTTGTTCTTCTTCCAACAACTGTAAATCAATTTTCATCATCTCAGCATTCCCGTCTTCATTTTCTTCTAATATCATTTTCCTTCTCCAGGTTGCCTCTCCGACTTCAACCGGCAACCTAGGTTCAAAGCCATACGTCATCTTAAATGGTGTTTCTTGAATGTTGGACTGCACGGAGGTCCTATATCCCCACAACACATTATCCAACTCTTCCACCCAACTTCCTTTACACCCTTCCACCCTCCTTTTCAGCCCATTCGTCAAGATTTTGTTAGCCGACTCTACTTGCCCATTCGTTTGGGGATGTTCTACTGCAGCAAACTTGTGCCTTATCCCCAAGTCGGCTACCATCTGTCTGAACTTCTTGTCTATAAACTGTGTCCCATTATCAGTGATAATTATGGCCGGAATACCAAATCTACAAACTATCTTTCCAATGAAAAACTTCTGGACCTTCCGAGCAGTAATAATCGCTACCGGCTCCGCTTCAATCCACTTAGTGAAATAATCTGCTGCCACTATCAAATATCTAACTCCTTCAGCTGCCCTAGGAAAGGGACCTAGAAGATCTAAGCCCCACTTATAGAATGGTCAAGGTGACGAAATGGAAAATAACTCTTCGGGAGGAGCTTGATACACATTAGAAAACTTCTGGCATTGGTCACACTTCTGAACATGTCTTTTAGCGTCCTCTCCCATTGTTGGCCAAAAATATCCTGCTCGTATAGCTTTCCTTGCCAACAACTTCCCACCAAGGTGATGCCCGTTAATTCCTTCATGTATCTCTTCTAACACATATTCTGTGTTCGGCGCAGCAATACATTTCAGCAAAGGTGACTTTACTCCCCGTCTGTATAACTTCCCTTCTATCATCACAAACCACGCTGCTCGTCTTCTCAAACGACTTGCCTCCATCTTTTCGTTTGGTTCTTTACCATTCGCCATATAATCCTTAATTGGGCTCCTCCAATCTACCTCTTCTACCATCCATACTACACTCGGAGCCCGAATGCTCTGCTGAATAATAGTCCTCAAACTTCTAGTGGCTTTAGTACTGGCCAACTTTGATAAGACGTTTGCTCGTACATTATCACTTCTCCGAATATGCTCTATGCGGATCTCCTTAAATTCTCTCATCAATTCTTGTACTTTTGCTAAGTACTTAATCATAACTTCCCCTCTTGTTTGGTACACCCCGCTTATTTGTGAAGTCGCCAACTGAGAATCACTATACACTGTCAAACACTCCGCTCCGAGCTCTTTTGCCAAAATCAACCCAGCAATCATTGCTTCATACTCGGCTTGATTATTACTTGTGGGGAATGCTAGCGACAATGAATGCTCTACTGCCACCCCCTCTGAATTCTCGACTATAATTCCAACCCCACTACCTCTTTTATTGGATGATCCATCTACAAACAACTTCCACCAATTATTTTCTTCGGTACCTCCATGATGCGTCATTTCTACCAGAAAATCAGCTAATGCTTGTGCTTTAATTGCTTTACGTGCTTCAAAGGTAATACCAAACTCAGATAACTCTACTGCCCACGCCACCATTCGACCTGCTAAATCCGGCTTATGTAACATCTGCTTTATTGGCTGGTTCGTTCTGACTATTATTTGATGGCACTGAAAATACTGACGAAGCCGCCGTGCTGAAATTAGGAATGCAAAAGCCACTTTCTCTACATGCTGATACCTCACTTCTGCTCCTTGCAACACTTTGCTGATGAAGTACATGGGCTGCTGTTGCCCACTCTTTCCTTCTCGGACAAGCACCGAACTTACTGCTTCTTGGGAAACAGACAGATACAAATATAAAAGCTCCCCTGGTTCCGGCTTACTAAGAATTGGTGGTGAAGCTAAGATATTTTTGAAATGCTGAAAAGCAACTTCACACTCCTCAGTCCATGTAAATTCAGATCCCTTTTTTAAGAGTTGAAAAAGTGATAAAGACACTTGCGCAGATTTAGCCAAAAACCTTGACAGAGCTGTCACTCGCCCATTTAACTTCTGAACTTCTTGAACATTCTCTGGGCTCTTCATTTCCATCACCGCTCTACATTTATCCGAGTTAGCTTCTATTCCCCTTTCTGTCAACAAGAAACCCAAAAGCTTTCCTGCCAGAACTCCGAAAGCACACTTACTCGGATTTAAACGCATATTGTGCTTCCGAACTTGCTCAAAAACCTCTTCCAAATCTGCTAAATGCATCTCACCATCTTCCGACTTCACAATCATGTCATCCATGTGCACCTCTAACATTCTTCCCATCTGCTCCTTAAACACTTTATTCAGCATCCTCATATAAGTTGCCCCTTCGTTCTTGAGCCCAAACGGCATGACATTGTAACAATACACTGCATTTTCTGTTACAAATAATGTCTTCTCCTGGTCTTCTTTCCATAATGGTATCTGATTGTACCCGGAATATGCATCCATGAATGACAACACTTTATATCCTGACGCCTTATCCACTAGATGATCGATACTGGGTAAAGGAAATATGTCTTTAGGACAAACTTTATTCAAATCCGTGTAATCTGTACACATCCTCCATCTCCCATCCGGCTTCTTAATCAACCCGGGGTTGGCTAACCATGTGGCATACTCTATTTCTCTAATGAAACCTGCTTCTAACAACTCTTTGGTTTTTTCCTTAATCACTTTCCTCCTTTCAGCACAGAATCTCCTCTTCTTCTGGGCCACCGGCTTCGCTCCAGGAATTATTGCCAAACGATGACAAGATAAAGCAGGGTCCATCCCGGGCATATCAGAAGGTTTCCATGCGAAAAGATCAGCATTCTTTTGCAATAACTCTTTCATGCTAGCCCTCACATCAGGTTCTAACTCGGAACCCATTTTAGTAACCTGCTCCTAACTGAACCTCTTCCATGCTCCCCACGGGCTCTAGTCTCTCCACTTTATTTTCTACCCGGGGATCCATCCCGACTACCATTACTTGCTTCTCTTTCTTTTCGTCTACTTCCTTTTGTGCTTCCTCTTCTCTTTTGCCTCATCTCCTATCATTACTCGCTCCTTCTTATTTTCCTGTGGAATCCTCAAACTCATGTTATAACAGCTTCTTGCCATTACCTGATTCGCCTTTATCGTTGCCACCTTGTCATCCTTAGCTACAAATTTCATTGCCAACTGATAAATTGACAAAAAGATCTTGAATTTCTTCATGAATGGTCTGCCGAAGATAATATTATACGCGGAACCCAGATCCACTACAGCAAACGACAAAGTGACTGTCTTGTGTGTAGGCACGGTCCCCAACGTTAACCTCAATGGAATGTATCCCAAAGGTTTAATCTTGTCTCCTGTAAATGCTAACAAATCAGCTCCACACGGCTCCAACTGATCATAATCTAAATCCATTCTTCTGAAAGCATCCCAAAATATAATATCCACTAAACTCCCTGGATCTACCAACATTCTATCAACTTGATAGTTTGCCAACAATCCCGAAATCACTAAGGGATCATCATGCTCCGGGTCTAGTATCTCATCGTCTAAATCCTCAAACACTACCTGCTCGCCCGTCTTTTTTCACTCTTCTTTAAAACACGGTTTCTCTGAAATGGCCATACACATCTTTAAGTGCTTTTTCTGGGCATTCCCAGATTCTCCTCCTCCTGCTCGCCCTCCAGCTATAGTGCAAATATGCCCCACCAGAACTCGACCCGGAGATGATTTATTTTCTGCTTTTTGATTTCTGTTAGCCTCCCTATTCCTTCCCCCAGGCGGGCTGCGACTTCGGTCGAATCGCCGGATCTTATCTTCCTTACACCCATTTCCTTCTCCTCTTCTTACATATTTTTGTAGTTTCCCTTCTTGAATCAACCTTTCAATAACATTCTGCAAGTTAAAACAATCATTCGTATAATGTCTATACCCCCGATGAAATTCACACCATTTCGTTTTATCTGCCTGGGCATAACTCGACCGAATCAGCGGAGGCCGTGGAACATTTCGCATTTCTGTAGACATTACCTCCTTCAATATCTGGGCTCTGGACGTATTTAATGGTGTGAAGTCTATCTTATATGCTTCTCTAAATCTTTCCCCTACTACCCGAGGTCGTCTTTCGTCAAACTGTCCTCTTCCAGCAGGCTTGTCCGGCCTCCTAAATGTAGCTTCTCTGAACCCTTGTTCAATTTGCTTCTGAGAAGATCTAAATTCTTCCAAATCAATATACTTCTGAATCCTTTCCATCAACTCTTCCTTTGTAGCCGGTCCTTTTTTCGCCAAAGAATCCGCCAACCCGCCAGGCTGTAACCTGGTGGTAAACAACAGCAAATACGTCTGATTCTCCAACCCCTTGACTTGTCTAGCTTCTGCTTGAAACCGTTCATAATATTCTCTGACCTTTTCTCCTGGCTTCTGTCTCACTCCACATAAATTGTGTGTGGTTTTTGGTTGGGGTCCACAATGAGCAAACTGCTGTATGAAACGAAGAGATAAATCAGACCAACTGTCAATGGAATTGACTGGCAGGCCCGTAAACCATTCTAACGCCTGCTTCCTTAGGAAAACTGGAAATGTCCGACATAACAAAGAGTCTGATTCTCCACGTAATGACATCGCTGCCCGAAAAACGGTTACAAACTCCTTTGGATCTGAGCTTCCATCATAAGCTTTCATCTCAGTGGGTTATTTGAACCAACTCGGAATAGGCTCTGCCCTCAATCTCCAAGATAAAGGGGTTCCTGAAGGACCCTGACTACCAGGCGGCTCTCGAATCTCCTGCGGCATCTGTTGTGTTAATCTCTTCGTCTGCTCGTTCCAGCTTGGTCCTTCTTGTCTCATCATCTGTCCTTCATAACCACGAGGACTATAATTCTCTACTGATTGCCACTCTCCTCTCTGAGCCCGGGTTCCTGGTGCATAATAGTACTCATCCTCATCTTGTGGAAAATCATCTCTGTAATAAATATACCGTCTTCCTCCATCTGTCCTCCTCCTCTCATCAGCTTCTTCATAACGTCTCTGACCTCGCCCCTACCCCCTATGGCGAGCGTAATAATGACAACCTTCCCGTCGTTGCTCGTCTTCCCAAGCATCCCACTACGTGTAATACTCACTGACATGACCAACCGCCTATCCGAGTCAAATATATCCGGGTTCCGTGTCCTTTACTCTTACGATCAAGTACGGCTCACTGTATGAACCCAGAACAATTATGATGACCATTGATATTATCTGTAATTAATATCTCAATTACAAAACTTCAACTATAAATAAGAGTTTAATCTAACAAACCAAATCATTTTTATATTCTCTTCAATTCCCTACATATCTCCATTTCCCTTCTTCTCTTCTCCTTTTCCTTTTTATTTCCAACCCTTTCAAATTGTGTCGTAATTATTTCCCCTTAGCTACCCATTGCACTTCCCTTCACGAATCGCTCTTCTCCCAAGGAAACTTTCAAACATGGAGTTTAGGTAACCCTAATCCTTAACGAATCCTATGATAGTTTTATTTGAAATTTGATTTTTTTTTTGTTTATTTATAATATGAATTTTATCAAAACACGTTTCATTAATTTCGCTAACTCCCAAAATGACGTAATTTTGGGGTGACATGACAAAAATAAACCCCATATATATAGGAAAAAATATTTCTCCGACAACTTGAGATAAGTTTATCTCCGGTTATCCCAAAACTATGTCATTTTATTTATTTATTTCCTTATATTAATTGATTCACCTTTGAATGGTTATGATTCTGTTTTTCTCTCTCTTCCTTTATCACCATTGATTCATCTTTGTACGGTTATGATTTAGTAACGGGAGATAAAATTATCTTCGGCAGCTTGAGAAATGATAAGCACACACACACACATATATATATATATATATATTGTAATTAAGAGAATTTAATAATATTTATTGTTTTCAAAAAATCTTAAATAATAATTATTTCAATACATGAAGTTTCTCATGCTATATAATGATTGGTTTTGCGATTTGATCAAAAGAATTCATAACATTTGTGTATTATTATTTATTATATAACACAAAAACTAATGTGTTTCTTATATAAAATAAAATGTAGGGAAATATTTTTCTTATGTTGCAAGAAAATAGTTATCTCATGTTGTAAAAATAAAATTACAAGTGAGACCTACAGGAAAGAGGAGAGAGAGAAAAAAAAGTGGTGGGACCCATCCCTCTTTTTTGTGTATAGAAAAATTATTTATCTTATGTAAAATAAGATAAATATAATCCAAAAATATATTATTATTTATTGGTTTATAGGCAATTACAGTGAACACGAGAACAAGAGAAAGAATTCAATTTTATCTTAAAGTGCAAACAGATTTTGAGAAAGCTAGCCTTAATTTTTTAGTCCAAATATACATGATTTTTTTTTTTTTTTGGAAATATTTCAATCGGTTCATTGCTTTGCAACTAATTCGATTCGGGGCAGGTCCAGGATTAAGACTTTAAACCCCTCCCAAAGGTGATACTGGGGAGATTCGAACACATACTCTCACACCCACGTATTTAGCTCCTATGCATCAACTGAACTACCATCATTTGATATATATGTAATTTTTTTAAGTCCAAATATATATAATTTTTTTAGCCCAAAATACTATCTTTCTCACACACACGTTTAAAGAGGGGAGGTGTCCAATCCTAACCTCCCTACTCCCTAGCCCCCTTTGATTCCCACAATTGACCTTAACTTAAAACAGATAATATAGAGTGTCTCACCTAATTATAATAAACTCAAATTCAATTAGTTTTCACAGGCTAATTTAATAATTATTCTTTAGATTTTTTTTTGACTTTTTTGTAGCCAAAGAAAGTTGGCGATACCTTTTTTTCTTCTTTTTTTTCCAGTATTTTATTCCTACGGAAAATTTTAAAGTGATTCGGGATCAATTTTTTTTATGATCCTTTTCTAGTTTTGGAAATTTTTTCTTCCCTCTCAATCCTTCACTTTTTTAAAAATTTCCTCTCACTCTTTATTTTTTGCTATTATTGGAACGAACTTAGATATACCCGGTCCACCATAACAAACCTCCTATCCTACAGGCTACAGCAACAATTCTGGTCATAACTATTGTCAATATTTAAGACAGCGTGGTATTTTTCTGATCATATTAGCCTCAATGATACTAAGAAACCACCTTTTTATTTATCGTTCTTTTATGCCTATAAGACTAATCTTTTTTCATGATGAAGACAACTAACTTCAGTATTGCCTTCTATGAATATCGTTGACTATTTTTATTTTATTAAATCGGCTTCGTAAATATACATATAGTAAAGGCAGCCTCTTTTGTTGTTGATATAAATATAATATTTTATTAGTAAAAGTTTAGGAAAGATCGAAAATTATTCAATACCACAAGTCTCAATGAAGTCTTATTCCTACAAATTAACTAATCATTAATGATCATTAGTAATAATTGAACTCAAGGCCTTTGAGTCCATTCAATCCTATTTAATCCTATAAATAGGTTTCATCTATAAAGTATCGACACTTCAAAACTTCTGACGTGTCGTGTCCGATACTCTCTGACACTTCCCGACACTCCAACACGCGTTATAAAAATTCAAAAAAAGGTTCAAAGGTTGCGTTGAGTTTTTAGTTCCACTTATTAGATTCGTTGGATTACGATTACCATTTTATTGAGTTTAATATAAATATTTGGGATATGTTATGTTTTTTTGCAAAATTGACGAATATTATAAGTTTAGTTTCATTTTTTTGTTAAATTATTGAATATTAAATATAATATACTCAACATAAATTAAAAATATTATTTAATATCAAAACGTGTCCTAACATGTTGAGATATATAGTCCCACATTGATTAGATGGACAACTAATATGACCTTTATAAGGCCTTGGGCACTCCCACCCCTTGAGCTAGCTTTTGGGGTGGTGTATCCTAAGGTTCTTTACATGGTATCAAAGCCTCACCGTCTCCCGCTTTAAAAAGTGGAATTAAAATAAAAAAAAAGCACAAAAAGGTAAACAAAAAATGGGCCTGTGCAATTTCCACGCTTCTAGCCTAAAAAGGCTCTTGCGTGAGGGGGCGTGTTGAGATATATAGTCCCACATTGATTAGATGGGCAACTAATATGGCCTTTATAAGGCCTTGGGCACTCCCACCCTTTGAGCTAGCTTTTGGGGTGGTGTATCCCAAGGTTCTTTACATAACATGTCAAAATCTAACATTTTTTAAAATTAAAGTGTCAGAATGTCATATTGTATCGTATCCCGTATTGGTATCGGTGCTACGTAGGTTTCATCGTGTTTTCTTACTCAAAATCATGACTTGTTACCCAAAGGTAAGAGTAGTATGTGTGAAAGAAACGGAGGCGAAGTTTGATCAAATTAAAGTTGCCCCCAACAAGTGAATTTAAGATCATATATATAATGTACCAAAAAAAAGGAAAAAAAGATCATATATATATTCTGTACCAAAAAAAAAAAAAAGATCATATATATTGGGGGATGATAGTTTTTGTTTGGTCAACATAGTTGATTCCTGTTTGAAATTTAAGACTGGGTTTGGTTTTAGTTGGATCACTAATGGCCCATAAATTCTTGGTCTCCGTAGAGCCCACACACAACTTCTGCAAATTCAATTTATGTAACTACCCTAAAAGGAAACTTTTGATGATACATTAATGGCGAAAATTCATTCACGGATAAGCATATAAGTTAGCCAATTGCCACAAGTACCTTAACTATTTCTATGCATTCTCGATCAGAACAAGTTAACATTGAATCTGCACCTTTGCTGTATTTAAATTTAAGTCATTTAAAATTAAAAACAATTGATATTTTCATATTTGTAGTCCTAGTGTAGATTCCCAAACTACATCAGCTTGTATCAAATTTTTTTTTTTTCCCTAGGCAATATGTTTATAACAGCTTTCATAAATCATTATATTTTTAACAAATAATATTCTGATGATTTATAATATTATTTCCCCATTTGTAACATAGAATTTTTTAAAAATAAATTTGTAGCATGTTTATTTTAGATAATTCTTTGAATTTATCCAACAGCTCATCAATTATTTGACTAATTTAATTCAAGTCAAATAGAATTATAAAAATTTTTCTATCAAATTTTTAATACAATTGGGCATTTAAAACTCAAACTTAAATATTTTAGATTATTCTTTTCACAAACGGTTCACACAACTTCCAAAGCATATTATTCTAACAATGTTTTACCGAAGGAAGTTGGCGTTTGTTAAACTTTAACACCAACATGCTATATTACATTGATAAATATTTAGTAGTTACTAAGGAATTTATGAAAATTAGAAAAGTATATTTCATACAATTACCTTAACTCTATCCACTCCTTTATTTTTAATCTTAAATAATTCCATTTATTTTTTAATTTTAATAGGAAAGCATATATATACTATTACAGTATTAAAAAAAATACTCATATTAGATAAATATGATTATGGATCCCACCGTATGATTAAATAAATCTAAAGTAAAACAAAATTATTAGTGTCAAGTACAGAGCATTCTCCCCGACTCTTACCTCTTCAATCATTATAACTTGAAGGGTATTAAACCCCAAATATCTGCAATAATTACAATGAGGATTTTGTTATTCTTTTCCTTCCATTGATGTTTTTCACCCTTGCCCC